TGAACAGGCAGAAGGGGACTAGTTCCATTATAGTTAGATGTCCGTTCATTTGCAGTGGGACTTCATTGAATACAAGTACACCGCTGCTTGTGCAAAGTTGGGACCATCCAACCCCTTGGCAGCACATCTTGACCACTGATATTTGTATCTGCTGGACAACTACGTATGATACCGCCAAAAAGCTGGCATATGCAGGCTAATGTAAACCCTGGCACCAATCCAGCCCTTTCTCTCCAAATACTAACACCAGTTAATAAAATGTATTGAACAATGTAATGAATAACAATGAACGAACAACAAAACAAAAGCTTATAAAGGAGAAGCAATGAGATGCCAGCCCATTGTTTTGTTTCTTCCAACTTTCCATGAACATGCCCAAAAGGTGAGGACTAACCGACTACCAATAATCTTTTTAGATATAAAACTTTTTATAAACATGAGCCGCATCAGCAGCATTCCCCCATGATCTAACTGTTCATGTGGGCGAGTTGAAAAGGCAGAGTATGCCACAGCAGCTTGAATATCATCACAGAGGGTGATACAGTATCTCGCGATTGTGTAAGCAGACGGTGTGCACGAACTGAGGCTTGTGTTAAGAGGCTCAGCGCTTCGTCAATCTGCGCAGCCCTCAGCCACTGGAAAGCCCTGACATGCAACAGCCTTACCATCAACAAGAGGCTATTGAAAACAAAAATAGGCCTACTCTGAGAATGACACAGACGTGCCTCACAGTCGACCGCCCTCTTACCATGCAGTCAAACACCAGACATTGTAATACAGCATATCCTTACACAAACTCAAAACTTTGTAACTTAACGCACTAATTACCAGACCTTTCTTTATACAAACAACTCAAGAGCCTAAAATTCATGATTTATATCTATAATGGCAACAACCAACCTTAAGTGCAAAAAGTACAGACTGATTTTAAGCCTTTGCCACGCCTTGTCTTATTCAGATTTGCACAATCGTGTACAATATACTACAGCTGATTTGAAATGGTACCTACAGCTAACATATTGTAGACGACATATAGAGATAACATATCAGAGCCACAACTTTATAAGTTAACGCTGATCATGTAGGTCTAGCGTCAGACATGAGACACTGATGAAGTGTTGTCCATCCCCACAACTTTTCAGTAACAACCCATGAACAGATACAAATCCTTGGCCAACGTTATACTCACCTATCACAGATAAGAGAGCTATATTTCATGTAAGAATGTGTTGCAAGTGTCCTATCTTTAGTATAGTCTTTGTTATGTTGGTGTCATACATTTGTACCATGTGTTTTGAGATTTTTTATCATTTCAAATTCATCTGAACTTGATTTTCGGAAAAAGTGACAGCTCTACCCTGGCTTATATTTTGTGTGATCACGTTAAAATTCTTCAGGACTGCACACTGAACTCAAGAAAACAGCAGAAAGCAAGACAAGGACACAGCAGAGAAAGCTGTTGTCATGGCAACTGTAAACAGCATTTCAGCTTAACTTAAGTAAGCTGAAGTTTCTATGTTTTAGAAAGGTTTTTTAACATGCAAGCACAATGCATATGCTGTCACTTTTGTTTTAATGTTGGAATATTTATAACTAAAAACCACTGTAAGCTATCGAAATGTCTTAAAATGTATTCATGATCTTTTCTTATTCTGCTAAAAACCTGTGTGAAATGTGTATTTATGCATAAAATGTGCATAATAAAATATGAACATAAAGCCAGCTTTTCGGTCTCATAATGCTTGCTGAATGCAAACCGGGGGAAGTCGCTTATAAGGATAGAAACACCAGTACAGAGTGCCACCACAAAGAGCTTGATAAGGAAGAACTTCCTGATGCGATTTGTAAAATACTTCAGATGCAAACCAAGGGAAGTCTATGAAGTACATGCTGCACCACTTTCCTCTGGCTGCTGCACATCAAAGCAACATGACCAACTGACTCAAAACTACAGGTCTCAAGAAGAACACAGCAAGTGCAAGGAGGCTGAGGCTGACACGTCGCCCACTCCAACTGCCTTTGAGCACGCCAAAAATACAGGAACAACACCAAAGTACAGAACTGGGCTTTTACATGAACATGAGTGAAGATCACATTAAAACTGGAAGAACAATGGGATGTTCATATGGCTTTTGCTGCTGGTATAGAGGTTGATATAATCGTTTAAGGGCTGAAAGATGAAAATAGTCATTGAACAAAGAAGGGAGGAATTGCTCTAAAAAGAAAAGTACACAAATCTGAATTTGTCTTTCTGAGTCACAATGTTCTCTCAACTTATATAGCTACAGCAGTTTATGTTGTTGCATATTTAGTCTCACAGGACCCACAAGTGAGCAGGGCTTCTAAAAGAAAAAAAGGCCACATTTAATGGACACAAAGTTTGCCAGCTTAGAGATTTTGGCATCGCAGGGAGACAAATACAGTTCCAGTTCCTGTAACCTTAGTCAAGCATGATGGACTTGTCTGTGCCTGTTGCCCTAATTTATTATTGCTGATGTCAGGAAATATTTAAATATGTGTTTGTTTATCTTCAGAAATCTTTTTGGGATTATTTGCTGTTGAGATTCTCTTGAAACGAAATGTCAAAGAAAAACAAAAATACTGACTTTATGCTTATGCATTTCACAAAAACCCTGATTACTTATCAGCATCACTGGTGGCCAGCATGGGTAAAAGATGACAAACAGAGCTCATGGCACTGTTGCAGCTTACAGAAACTGAAACTTCATTATCATAAAGTTCAAAGAATTAAAGGTCACAGTGCGACCCACATGGTTTGCCTGACAGGTTATCAGTGTGGAAACACCACGACGGTGAGAACCAAGCATAAAATAAAAAATCCCACAAGTAACCACTTGTAACAACATTAATTGTTGTGTTTTTGTTATAAGTAAAGCCATGCCCAGCTTCACTTATAACAAAAACTTTGTGTGAGCCGAGTTTCAGGCAGGTGACTGCAGAAACTAAATAACTTGAACTAAAAGTTCTGTTCATTCTTCTGTTGTCTCCTAAAATAAAGATTTAAGGATGGCCAATCTGTATGTTTGCTGTTTTGGATCCAAACACCAAAATATCTTTAAAGCAAGAACAAAACCGACTGGATTTGTCCAATAAATTTTTATGTTCACTTATTGTGTATTATGTATTTATCTTTACAAAAGGGACAGTGCACATAAATCAACAACAATGTAAAAGTGCCAGGGTTATCAAAACAGCTTAGGGGACCCACACTCACAACACAAAAAAAAATATCTGTTTGCGAAAGAAATTAACAAACAAAATGCATGAGTATCTAGTATTAATAGTTTAACGTAATTAAAACATGATACATTCAGCGCACATTAAGTCAGCTTAAGACATAAAGACAGTCATCTATCGGTACTGATTAATCAGCATTGATCAGCTGATATGAAGCAGCAAATCTTTACCTACCAGCATTTTTTTATTTTTTATTCTTTAAATGATTAATCAACTGTCATAATTGCACCTTAATACTGTTCAATCAATTGTTTCATCATCATTATAATGAGAGGAGAATTTCTGATATGATTTTCGTTTGAACTGCAGTTCTGTTGCCCAGCCTCTAGCTGACCATCACCTTACAGATTTCAACACTTTTTCTGAAGTACTATCATCTCTTTCAATAACCAACAACACAGACGACTCTTTACAACTGAACATCCATCCAACACTGGGGCTTTAATGGTGACCCGTTCTGCTTGCCTTGAGCTACAGTATGTTTGCAACCGTCATTTGTTGATAGGGGATCATATGAGTACTAGCCATGGCAGTGTGCTTTTCACTAAATAAAATAAAAAAAAAAAAAGGAGATGCTCAACAAACTGCTCTACACTGTAGGCTGGCTATGTTTCATATCAGTGCTCTTAGAAAACCCAGCTCCGCTCAGCACAGAAGAAAAAATATCTACACTGCTGTTGTTTGACACAAGGACAATATATTATGTAATACAGTACAGTGTGCACATTTAAGGTCAACTACATGACCACAGGCTAAAGCAACAAGATTTAGTGCTTTGGAAAGAAGCGAGTGGGATACTTAATACAATCCTGAGATTTTGTTAAAATAAAATCTTTTATCAGAAGGAATACCACAGATTTACACAATTAAGGTAACCATTTCATGCAGTAAAACGGGATAAAAATCTATAAACCACAAGTAAAATTGTGCACAAATTGAGTTTTGATGAGTTTTTCCTCTACTGCATCCCTTCACTGTATAACCAGCCATCAGTATGTTACTGAAACAAACGTACAAAGAAAACCACTTGAGGTACTCCCTCCTCCACTACATATTTAGGTATTTCATGCAAATATCACCTACATAACATAGTGTACAGCTACCATGGGTAACAACCTATGGAAATGTCATGGTGATAAGATGTAGTAGTATCAGAGCACAGTAAATTCTGTATTGACTACAACTCAAATGGTGAACTAGTAAGAGTGGTATTATACTAGCTTGGGAGCTTAAAGTAAATGAAAATAAAGTGGAGGACTGCACACACCCTGTTGGGGTGCCTGTTGTATAAATAGTACTGACAAAATACCAACAGTGTTCATTTTACAAGCTTTGTGTTACATTTAAAAGAGTAGAAGATGAAACACAACCTCAGTTAACGGGGGCGCTTATGGCATTTTATGTAGAAACCTGTTTTCCATTCATGCAAGTTAGTAGCACTAAAAACAGACGTCCACGTTAAAAGTACATCGGCTTCTTGTCGACGGTCATTACAACGCAAAATCCACCAAACGTGAACTTTATAAAAGTCATCCAGTTGAGCCGCGATTTAATCTTCATTCCTCGCAAACGCCCTCTTCATTAACTGACAGCGGTCTGACACTGTTGCTTGTTAGCTAAAACATGACATTAGTTGTTTTTAAACGATAAAGATTTAAGTTAACTACCATTACATGAGGCTAAAAAGGCACATGTGGGAACTCTATACAACATGCAAACAGCTAAAGTACGTAAACACTTACCACACCATCCCGTAGGCTCCTTCCCCGATGTAGGAGAGGTTGCTGTACCGAGGCCCGACGTCGAAGGCCTGCCCGCGGACCAGCTCTGCTCCCGACCCGGGGCTGGGGCCGCAGCCAGCAAGGGCAGACACCGCAGCTGTCGCCATTATGAGGACTGCCTTCTTTTTTTCTTTCCTTTTTTTTTTTTTTTTTAAACAACGCTAACAAATAAAAAAAAGAGCTACTAAGACCGGAAAATGTGTATATGTGTGTTTATATCCGTCGTCGCTGTTGGCTGAAACCGGGCTTTCAGTGTGGCAGAGGCCTTCACTACGTGTGGAGGGCTTTTTCTTCCCGTTAATGTGCGTTCACAGCGACCACACCACTGCTGTGCTGTCGGAGGGAGGCAGGCAGGGAGGCAGGCAGGGGCTAGTAGCGGAGAGGTTGCTGGCTGCTGCAGGAAATAACGGAGGCGGTCATGTGATCTGGTGTTTTCTTTTTTTTCTTTTTTTCCCCCTTCCTTTTTCCACGTTTTTTTTTCTTCCGGATGGCCAATGTTACCTTCAGGTACCGCCTCGACTCTGTACAACAAGCAAAAGAGTAAGGTGGCTTGATCCAGTAGTAAAGGAATACTCTGTTACAAGTGTCAGTATAAAAACTAAAAGGACCCCATAAAATGGTTCCTGTGAACTTATTGTATCATTAAACCAGGAATTTACTGTTGTAGTTGGTTGAGGTGGAGCTCATTTTGAACTATTGTACAGGTCTGCAATTAATGATTATAAATGAGTTGCCTATTTTCTCTGTTAATCAATTGATTGTATTCGGAAAATAGTGAGAAATGGTCAGACCTAGAGCAAAAGAAAAGCAGCAAATCCTCACATTTCAGAACATCGAATCATGAAAAGTGACTTAAATGATTATCAAAACAGTCATTTAATTTTCTGTCAATCAGCTGCTAGCAGTTTAATTTATAACATCATATTTCATAAGCTCTTTGTATGTTTTGTGCAATAACCGTCATTTGTAAAGTAACTAGCAATTAAAGATGTCAAAGATTTGCTGTGAAAAGTACAATATTTCGTCTGAAATGTAGAAAGTGCCATGGTAAGTAAGTACAAATGCCTCAGTTATTACAAGATAACAATCCACCACTCGGTAGATCACTGAAGTTATAAACAACTTGTATTAACTTTTAACTAAATCGTATTGTAACAATAAAGATTTTGCAGAAGAACCATGGCTGGATTTACTTGTTTGGGGAACCCCCAAAAGGTAGTTCACATTATACCTACCTTGCTCTTCACACGCATTGTATATTTAAAAAAAACTGTAATGTTGTCCTGGAAAGTGGTATGTGGGAGTTGTGCTACACTTTTGTGACATTCTGGATGATAATATGGAATCAAATAATCTAAAGTTGCTTGTGACATCCATTTTTATTGTTGCCTTTTTAAAAGGAGGAGAATTGGGAGAGTGCATCCTTTCTGATGACGTATGTCCTTGAAGTTAGGGGTGTATGTTTATTAGCTGCTGGATTCAACGCTGTTCAAGCAAATTCAATATCTTGTATTTACAAATGCCCAGATGGTTGGTAGGTGGGGAGATCTCTGATCGCCTGGTATTGTGAGACTAATAAAGGATTAACTTTTCAGACCTGTAAAATCCATGAAGCAACATGCTTCCAACAGCGCAGCACACACTTGTGTTGTTTCAAGGCTGTTTTAGACTGAACGTTTGGGAAAATAGGGCAAATGTTAAAATTATTAAATGATTAATGAATAATAAGAAGTATTCATCAGATTCTGCAGAACAACTTTCCCTGCTTTAAGTTTGTCTTACAATCATAAACAGATTATCTTGATAGGAGGGCCCTGCAGCAAACCCCTTTAATCCCTGCTCCTCCCACTCTCTGCATGCACAATATGAGCAGGTTTCCTATGCTAGACAACCAACTAGCCCTGGGTTTGCTGTGTGGTCATTTAGTTAAAACCCTTAATTTGTGAAGGAGAGGGCAGTGGTGGTTTGAAAAAGGGGAGGGCAAGGGAGGTCTTTTATTGTTTTTCTCAGCCATGATAAACTTTATTTAAGAGAAGATGACTATTTTGTGAACCACGGAAAGCTGTGAAGAAACACTTGAATGTAAAGGATTGATTATTTGAAGTGCTTTTTTTTTTTTTTTTTTACAAAAAGAAGAAATACACCTGTTACATGTTGAAAATATAGTTATTGAATTGAAATAAAGGTTATAATCGCAAACCCCTAAACTTGAAGGGAAGTGAAGGGAATTTATTTCAGTTTCAAGCTGGACATATTTTCACCTGAAAATCAGCAAAACCACTCTGACAAAGCTGTGCTGTTATAATGAAGTTTTATAACTAGGTTCGGGACCAAAGACCACGCCTTGCACTCGTCTCATTTCCGCTCAAAGTGTACTTAAGCACACCTTATCCGTTCACTCCCTCCTTGACTCAGTTTCAGCAGGGCTGTGTGACAGTCAACAGACATGTGGCGAAACAATAACAATAGCATAAAGTGTTAAACTTTGAAGGACTAATGGTGGCCCAAAGGTTTGAGAGTTGTACTTGTGACCAGGTTTGTAGTTTGATTTCTGGACTGACAGGATAAGTTTGGGTAGTCAAAATAAATGATTGTGTTGATTTAAAAAAGAACTGACAGAGGAATTAGAATGCTGATGTTCTGTTCTCTGACATCATAATGGACTCAGCTGCATAATTCTGGCCTCATTCCCAAATCAACTGTTGGAGAGGTAAGACCACTTTACAGCTGTGATAAAAAAACACTTTTTACTTGAGTTTTTATGTTTAGTAGTAGTACATTTATTTTCCCTGCATTGTGCTGTCAATTAAATTACTTTTTTCATTAGTTATATTGCAAATGTCATTACAGTCAATCATGCATCTTTTGCTGTAATGAGATGCAAATATAGGTTTTGTCTTGCATAACACAATTTTAATGTGTAATCTTTACTTGGTTGCATGTGTGCAAAATGGACAGAATTTGTAGGGTTTTTTTTGCAGTATATAAAATAATTCACATTGACAGTGACAGTCTTTGTACTTGTGATCATCTGCAGCTTCTTTTAGATATACCATGCAAATTAAAGATTGTGATTTATAACTAGGGGATTTCAAGTGATCGCCAAAGCATTGATAGGTGGTTGCTACATGTAGGTAATGAAAATACTTCCCCTGAGTCTTCCAGCACTTCCTCCTCCACATCTTGATCGTTCAAGTTTTCTCTCCACTGCCCGACTATGAGGTCAGGGAATGACAAACTCAGAAACTAGCCAAACATTTCTGTAAAAACCTGATAATGAATCGTCCTATCCCTCCCTCCTGTCAGTATGTTTAAGTCTGTCCTGTGAAACATCACAATTATCTGCCTCACTTTGTGAGTAACGCTTGGAGGATCTCACTGTTGCTGCCCCTGTACAGAGAAAGACTCACTGTTCGTTAGTCCACTGTCCTGCTATCAAGACACTGATAGTTTGACACTGTAGACATAACCTCTGACACAAAGATGGGCAAATCTTCCCATGAGCCTCAAAGCTCTGATTAGTCCATGTCTTTGGACTAGTCAGAGCTTGAAGGCTGACTATGATTATATCTTCAGACGGGGTCAATAGTTCTTCTTTCAAGCTGTGAACAGCCTGGACAAAGCCAGGTTTAACAGAACCCGCATTAAACCTCCTCAAGCTCAGCCTCACTGTCCTCTTCCCCACTCCAGTCCTTCTGGTCTGAACTGACTGTGGCCTACTCAGAGACCAAAATTAGTTAAATATTATAGTATGTATGAGGTGTGTAATATGTGATAAGTGAAAAGTAAGTTCCATTTTTAAAAGATGTTATGATGACTTAAGATTGTCCTTTTTAATGAATTTGTTTGACACAGATGATGAAAAAAATGGAAAGGTTGTTCTTTAAGGGAGCTAACTTTCTTTCAAAAGCTTGTCATATCAGGCATCCCAAAGTCACTGTCAAGTTTGTAGATCTCCCAATGGTGACAAGATTAGATCCACATTAATTGAGAGGGTCTCTGAGGACATGGCAGACATGCAGCTGCTGTATTTCATATTTCACAGACTCTATTTTGGGTCATGATTCATGATAATGATGTAAAAAAATAACAACAAACATATAAATGTTGTTTAATTTCATTGATTGATATTTAGGAATGTATATTTGATGAACATTTTATCATACAGGGCTATTAATATTGTTTGTTTAAACATGGTCATATACAAATGGGTGACAAACAAAACTAAAAGATACAGTATAGACCTACAAGAACTTCCATACAGGGCTAGAGGGTTCCCTGAATGTTCTGATGAAAATGAAAATTATACGAATCATATGTTAAGGCACTCACAGTAACAGGATCTTAACCCAAATGACAAAACACCAAACAAGGGAATACATTTTGGAAGAATTGTTTTGCCTCTAGTAGAGTTCACAGACTAAAACTCTTTGTGTTTGTTTTCCATTTCATTTTTCACCCATCTTCATTTCTCAGTTATGAAATGAGAAACATTTCCTCCTCTCTGATCTACAAGGTAAACACAAATAGTAATAACAAACAGTGTCCAGAGATTTTATTTACACCTGGACGTATCGGGATAAAGGCTATTGAAATACTTTAAGTTAATGTGGCAATATCACGAGGTAAACAACTGTTTTACAAGTACAGAAGTATTATCAGAAAACGTTTTACTTTATTCTCTAAAGTAAAAGCACTCATTAGCAAAATGTCCTGTGTCCGAGTGCAACTATCAACTAAAGAGTATAAAGTACCATAAAATACCTGAGCAATGTACAGTAGCTACTTTCCACCACTGATTAAGAGGAGGAAAAAGATGACAATAAAGAAGAAGGTAAGAAGGTAAGGAAACACAAAAGAAATGAATCTAGAAATGAATCCACTGATTCAGTGATTCAGTCATTTTTCTAAAATGAAAATCAAGCCCAGTAATCAAGTTACAGTAATCAAGTTACTTTAACTTCACAGCAGCTTCCTGTGAAGCCACAATCCTTCAGTTTCACTTATCAAGTCTCTTTATTTTACCCTGACAACCTTAAACTGACATGACAACATCCTAAGACCTGTCAGAGTCATTCACAAGACATACAGCTTGCTCATCAGTCCACCATCAATTTCTGTATTCAGCTTTTATCAAATTACTGAAAATATTCAATTGTTTATTTTCTCTCACTGTGAAGGACACACTGACAGTTATCTAAGGAAAACACAGACCAGTTCTCTACTCAAACAACAGTGACAACATGGTTGCTTTTAAGGTAAAACTGTAGTGACAAACAGCCACTCTGTGTTTTACAGAAACTAAATATCATAAACAGCCAAACAAGGAGCTCAGGAGTGAAAATGGGACAGTGATAAGAAACATGGACAATCCAAGATGTCTGTAACAAAAGCAGTAAGATAAATCA